TACAGTACATGATACGATACAGTGTACAATATGATGCATATGCATGATACAATACAGTACATGATACAACGCAATCTGCTAAAGAACACAATAGGATACAGTATACGAGACAATACTGTACACAATACAATACGATACGACACGACAGTACATGGCACTATACAGTACACGATGAGATGCAATACGATGTAGTGCACGATACGATGCGATAAATATTATGTGATTTAATTTTATCCAGTAAGATATTATATTGTGTAATTTTATATACTTTATCAGCTTTGGGAAATTTGTTTTTAATTTACAAATGTTAACGATTTACAAATGTGCCCGAGTCATTCAGAATTAGCCAGATGAAAAGAAAAAAAAGTATGCCACTCTAAGTTATTTTTTACTGGGTTTCTCATCATCCATGTGTCAACCATCCCCTCCCTACTGCAGCATCATATCATTCATCAGCTCACATATGGGAGTCATTAGAGTAATAATGATGATGCTGTTTTGCCACAATGATGTCTAAGTCTGATTAAAAACTCCTGAGCTCAGGCTGATAAGGTTTGCATTCCAGATCGTCCCCCCACATTTTTTTATTTATTTATTTTTGGCGGATATGGCTGCGAGATCAGTGTGATATCTGACAGTCAACCTGCTCTCGCTGCCTCTGAGCTCAGCTTTCTGCATGAATGAGACTTACATACCATAACAGACTGTTTTATAACTCGGATTGCACAGCGCTGGAGTTTCTATTTCATGGTCGCTGGCAAAGCCCTGCTCCTTTCACAAGTGTGGAATTAAAGCTGTTTCCAGAGTTCGACCGGCTTTTCACACCGAAACGCAGCTTCTTTACTCTGGTTCTTATTATAGCCACACACGCCTCTGTTCTTATTTCTACAGGAATCCACGAGTTCAGAAAGGTGGCGCCTCTGGAGTTATCTCCTTATTCATTCTTGTCACATAAGCCTTGTTCTGGAATAATAATAATAATAATAAAAAAAGAAACGCTTTTTACAACTCTCCTTCTTGTGAAGCACCTGCACTGTGTCTTCTTTATTTGGCATGAAAGCGAAAGACTTCAGTGGTTGATACTTGAAGACGTTGCAGCCCTGAGGGAATTCTCCAAACTACAGTATAATAATAGCACGAAATGGTCAGAATGCACGTCAGAATGTTTCCAATATAAAAAGGTGCTGCACACAGTCAGAGAGAATAATGAGAATTCAAATTGGCTTTTTCAGATAAAAACGCCATCGGCTGTGTGTGGAGATGAGCTTTCAGGACTTTCTAGTGAAGTTGCTGTTTAAGGGAAGCCACACAAGTTTGAAATGAAGTTGTTATGAGATTACAAGTTTTAGAAGACAAAAAAAAGCCGATAAAAAAAGGCCAAACTGATTAGAAACAGAACCAGTCGACYGTGGTTCGAACAATGCGCTCACCTTCAGCCCGTCGACACCAGGAGGTCCGAGTGATCCCTAAAAAACAAAAACAAACATCCTCTTTTAAACGTATTTTTACTGCTACATTCAACAATTAGGTTCTCATGTAATGTACAATATTTACATTTATTGAATTTGCTTATTATTCATAAGCAGTTACAGTGCATAAGATAAAAACACACCTTTCTTGCTAATATGTGAGCCAACACTCTTTACTCTCATTATTCACTTGTTTTCTTCATTTAGATTTTAAATGTCAAATATTTGTTATTAATTGCATTGTAAGCACAATGTTAAAGTTCATTTTACCATAAAAATCTATGTAATTTAAAGAAAAAAGGTGACTGCTAACAGTCGTAGCAGTTAGCGTTAGCGCCCCTTAAGTTTAGTGCTTTAGTGATAGCGGAGTGACGATTCTTGTTTAGTGGTTAGTGAAGCTAACTGTCTGGTTAGCTGGGATGCTTGAAGGAAATGTCCAAAGTATAACTATAGAAAATGTTCTGAAGTATTTTTTAGTACTTTTTACTAAAGTACTTTGAAGTACTTTTTAGTATTTCAGAGCATTTTCCAGAGCTATTTTTTGGTTAGCTGGGACGCTTGAAGGAAATGTCCAAAACAAAACTCTAGAAAATGTTCTGAAGTACTTTTTAGAACAATACAAACAACTAACAATGATTTTGAGTAAATTTTTTTGCTAATTTGCTACTTTCTCTGTGCACTAGCAAAGCTATCTTAAATACCAAAATTTCGAATTTCAAATATGGTGGCAAGTTTTGACTGTCAAATGAGGTTAAAATTTTCTAATTAAAATGACCTAAAAAGAGAATTTAGACCCATTTTCCAGAGGTCTTCCCAATTAAAAACGCAAATCGAGTAATATCTCTGGAACTACTCATGGTAACAGGATGGTGGAGGTGTAGCTAAAAARCCAGGAATCTAAAAATGTTTTCCTTATTGTAAAGTGATACCAATAGTTTTGGCTAGTTGACCACTTGTTATCAAGGTAACGTGTTTAGGGAAGATGCAATAAAAAAAGTTTTCTTTGTAATCAGTATGTTTTTTTTTTGTCTAAAAGGACAGAGTTAACACGAGTCCCTCCCTCTGTTTTCATCCATCAAGGCGACCGATTGAGGCGATGAAACCTGATGAACTCTCTTGTGCCAAACTGGAGTTGAGCAGCAGAAGATCTAATTGAGTTGCCTCAGGGCCTGGATTATGAGTCATTAACAGGGCGGTGTGTCATCATTGACCCCTTTCTGCACACACACACACACACACACACACACACACACACACACNCACACACACACACACACACACACACACACACACACACACACACACACACACACACTCACACACAAAACGTCTCTGGCCGACGGGAGGCCTTGTCGACAGATGACAGCTCAGACAGGAAACGTCTGATTGGGTTACGCTGAACAAACACTGGCAGCTACCTGACGGCTGGATACGGCTTACATCTGTTTCCCACATCAGCCTGTATCACCTCACTTAACTCCGCGTTGCTCCGGCCACCGTCTCTCCCTCGTTTTCTTTCCTTCTCGTGTTTACTTGCCCCGACTGCGGCTCTCTATCTCAAATCTCCAGGTAAACACATTTAACACCCGACATATTTTTTATAGCCACTCGTGCCACTTCAGCCAAGTTACTATCAAACCAATAACATTATTCCAAAGTTAAAGATGTTTCTTTTTGGTATATTGAAAAAAACGAATGCCAGCTTTATAATAAAACATACGTAAGCGTAATTTAATGGGGATGAAATGCTGTTGGAATTTTTTTTAAATGGGTTTCTAAAACTTACCATTGGCCCCTGTGGCCCCTCAGGCCCCTATAAATGATAAGAAAGACAGAGTAAGATTTATTGGAAGAGAAAAACAGCAAAAAAAGTTCATGTCAGATGAAATAATACACTTTCCAGAGGAAACAAAGAGGCTGGTGAACTCACGGGAGGATTTTATTCAGCGAGCTCAYGCCCTACAGGCAAAAACCGGATCACAGTGAATCCCTTGTTTCAAGACTTGGTCTGAGACTTCGTTTCATGGAGCCACGTTGTGAATATGAATCTCTAATGAGAACCCTGAATTACAAAAACTCTTATGGTTTGATCTTTAACGGTGAGCTCAGTCTTTTTTTTATGTTTCAGCTGTGATGCAAACCAGCTTTGATTGACTGCGGCAAGAATACGATCCAACACGAGGTTATTATATTTTGTGATTCTTGTGTTTAGTTCTGGTTCTTATGTTTAGTTTTTTTTGTGTTTTTGTACCGTTGATCATCTCGTCGCAAAGTCCTCAGTCCTCCCACACCCACCCACACCTGTTCCCTATTCACATTAGTCTCAGCTGCAGCCACTTTCCTCCTTAACCCCAGCTTATTTCATCTGTCAGCATTTACTCCAGCTTTAGTGAGAAGAGAGTCTCTGCAGTCACTATGTAGGCGTTTCTTATTTTGTGGGAGAAGCCAAGACACAATTGGTTGGATTGACCATGGGTTTTGAAGAAGCTGACATAGACATAAATTGAGACATGAAGGCACTATCCGTCCGTCCATTTTCTGCCGCTTATCCGGGATCGGGTCACGGGGGCGGTAGCCTAAGCAGAGAGAGCCAGACTTCCCTCTCCCCAGCCACTTGGGCCAGCTTGTCTAGTGGAATCCCAAGGTGTTCCCAGGCCAGCTGAGAAACATAGTCCCTCCAGTGTGTCCTGGGTCTTCCTCTGGGCCTCCTCCCAGTGGGAAATGCCCGGAACACCTCACCAGGGAGGCATCCAGGAGGCATCCTAACCAGATGACCGAGCCACCTCAACTGACTCCTCTCGACATGGAGGAGCAGCGGCTCTACTCTGAGTCCCTCCCGGATGACCGAGCTTCTCACCCTATCTCTAAGGGAGAGCCCAGACACCCTGCGAAGGAAACTCATTTTGGCCGCTTGTATCCGCAATCTCGTTCTTTCRGTCACTACCCAAAGCTCGTGACCATAGATGAGGGTAGGAACGTAGACCGACTGGTAAATCGAGAGCTTCACCAGGACAGACCAGTACAAYGCCTGCATCACTGCAGATGCAGCACCAATCCGCCTGTCGATCTCTCGCTCCATTCTTCCCTCATTTGTGAATAAGACCCCGAGATACTTAAACTCCTCCACTTGCAGCAGGACCTCCTCCCCGACCCGGAGGCGGCACCCTACCGGTTTCTGGCTCAAGATCATTGTCTCGGATTTGGAGGCACTGATCCTCATTCCGGCCACTTCACACTTGGCTGAGAACCGCTCCAGTGGGAGCTGGAGATCAGGATCTGATGAAGCCAACAGGACCACATCATCCGCAAAAAGCAGAGACGTGATCCTAAGGTCACCAAAAAGGATCCCCTCAACATCTTGGCTGCGCCTAGAAATTCTGTCCATAAAAGTTATGAACAGAATCGGTGACAACCTTGGTGGAGTCCAACTCTCAACGGAAACGAGTCTGACTTACTACCGGCAATGTGGACCAAGCTCTGGCACCGGTCATACAGGGACCTAACAGCCCATTTCAATGGGCCTGGTACTCCATACTCCCGGAGTACCCCCCACAGGAGTCCCAGAGGGACACGGTCGAACGCCTTCTCCAAGTCCACAAAACACATGTAGACTGGTTGGGCGAACTCCCATGCACCCTCCAGGACCCTGCTAAGGGTGTAGAGCTGGTCCGTTGTTCCACGAACAGGACGAAAACCACACTGCTCTTCCTGAATCTGAGACCCTCCTCTCTAGAACCCCCAAATAGACCTTACCAGGGAGGTTCAGAGGGTGCTAGCTGCACGAAATTTGAAGTCAATAAATTATGTTTAGTTGTTCACAATAGTTTTTATTTGACTAATTGTTATCTTTTAAACTGTATATAGACAATCAATAAATCATAGTTTTCCTATTACCATTACTTTCTCTTTTAAACTGTCTTGACAACTTTTATTTCTTTGGTTAATTTAATGGGGACTTATCCTGCAATATCCACTTTTTTAGCCGTTAAATACATTTTGTTGTGTACTTCGGGTCTCTAGGAGTGAAGAAAAGTTAATTAATTTCTCGATTCCAAATATCATTGAGTTTTAAAAGCACAGCTATGATCACCTTTTGAGTTTTTTTAAGTTTGCTCAGTGGTTCATGAGAAAACTGAACTCCTTCAAGATGAAAAGATATCTCCAACAGGTAAGATAATAAGAGTTCATAGTGTTTCCACAGAACCCCCACTTCCAAAGATCTGCTAAATCATTTTAACACCTTCRTGTTTGGCAGTTACCCCTGCTGGACAGATTTTTAATTCATTTAAGCTCAGAATCTACAGTAAATGATGACTTTCTTTTTAGCTGCAGCTGGGTTTGAGCCAAGCAAAGCGTTCGCCCCACAAACCTTTTGTCTCTGCTTTTGTTCACGATAAATGCACTATAAACGTCAAAAAAGATACGGTCCCCCGTGGAGCGCTGCTCGACCCGATCATCAAAAGAGAAGCAGCCAGTGAGGTAATATTCGAGTTGAAAAGTTTGACTGTCAGTGCGAATTTCTGCGCAAATGGAGCAAAGTTCGGCGGCGCCAAGTCATGACTTAATAACGATTGGTTTTCTGGGAAGCGACCGCTCGTTGGATCGTACCTTGTTAAGTTTGCGCTGATGAAACAAAGAGATAATCACAGAAGTTAATCTCAAAGATATTCCATTTTCAGATTTTTTCCAACATCTCTCTTTAGCACCAAGTTCTCACATGTCTGCACACACACAGTTGCAGCTCATTTATAGTGCATTCCATCCGCACATTTAACAAAAACCTCAATAAAAAGAGTTTTATTATTCCAGTGGGCCAGGAGAAATGGGGCTTTTTCTCTCTCTGCTTGCCTTCAAAGGTCTTTGTTTGCTAACCTCAGCTGGGTTTAGTAAACATCTTTATGACCCACTAAGTATGTGAGAGCATGTGCCACTCGCCTGAGCGCTAATTAACTTGGCGAAATCTGAGAGAACTTAGGAGCTACTTGCAGAAAAGGAAATTTATTATTTTTTTCTACCCCCCAATCCACACCCAAAGCCGAGAAAGTCAAGAGCCCTTCGAGGAAATCCGGGCTCTTTTGTTCTTAAACGCTGATAAAAAACGAAAGCTGAGACTAATTTCTGGACCTTTGTGTAAAAGCGGAGGCTTAAAGCGAGCTTCGATGAGAAGAATACGAGGACGTCAGACATCATATCAGCAGGACGTCCAATAAAGAGCGAAAAACAGAAAGTGTTTTGTACTTTTATTCTCTAAACGACGAGGCCCATTCCCACACTCAGACAGCAGCACTTCAGCTCCTGAAGGAGTTCCAGAGCGYGCGGCTCTCGCTCGGCATTTACAGGAACACTAATTTGGCCTGATCAAAGCAGCGTGTGTTTCTTGGGCTCCGGGCTGCAGGTTGGAGTGTTTGTCCAAAGCTTTTGCTTAACTTRTGAGCTTTGTGGCCAAATTTTGTTTTTACTTGAACTCAGGCTGCTTCCAGTTTGATTGAAAATGCATCATTTCGACTGGCTGAGACATTTTCTTTTGCACCTAGAAGTTCACGTCACACTGATGAGGAGAATTATTTTAGAGCAGGGGCTGAGCTAGACTGTTTTTTGATAAGGGTGGCCAAGGAGGGGAGGGCACTCAAGATTTGAAAATTCAAAATGGCCCCCACAGCTAATTCTAAATTACTTTAATTTAGCTGTTTTAAAAAATACTTAGCTGAAGTTTTGTTAAATATAGCTAAGAATGATCCGGAAAAACAAGCTTGAACGCTAGTCACAACTTATTATTCAGGCAATTTTAGAACTACAACGCTGATGATTAGTGTAGAAGTAGCCAAAAACAATTTTAACCAAATTCTAAATGCTAATCAGAAATTCAAGATGGCCATCACAGCTAACTTTATATTATAACTCATCTTTTTTAGACTAATTGTCTACGTTCACACTGCAGGCAAATCCGACCCAAATTCGATTTTTTTGACCCATCTGACTCATATCCGATTTTTTTTATGACAGTCTGAATGAGACAAATCCGATTTTTTCAAATCCGACCCAGGCCGTTTCAGTRTGTGGTTTTAAATCGGATATATATCTGATGTTTTCAAAGTGACTGCAGTGTGAACGCTCATGTCACATTCATCTGACTTTTTCATCAGGAGGAGGGGGTGAAGGATCGATAAGACACTAACCTCAAGTCTCGTTGTTTAAATCTGTAGCTCCGTGTGTTTACAGCTCCAAAACACAAGTCCAGTTGCTTCATCTTTTTACTTTTCATTAGTATGATAATAATGATGTCCAGCCTGGGTCGCGGAGAGTATCGATCCTAAAGTTCGATACTTTTTTCCAGCTCATAGTTTCGTTAAAAAAAAGCTTCACTGGAGCATCCCGGTCAGAGGCAGGTTCAGATATAAACACTGAACTAAAGAAGCAGGTCAGATAATTATTTAATTGGCTCTGATTAAACAACAACTTCAGATTCGATGCACAAAATGTAGCATCCATGCTAGCTCTGTAAACAAACAAGCCGGCTGATGAGACGTCACGTCTTTTACTGCGCATGCGTGTCACATCAGTGCTGTGTAGCGTTCACACASRGGTCTGATGCAGGTCACATTTAAAATGTAATGTGAACGTTCACACAAAAAGATCGKATTTTTTCAAAAAATCGGAACTGAGCATTAAGACCTGCAGTGTGAAYGTAGCCATTGATATGAAATTCATTTTGGATTAGCTAAGACAGATCACATGCTAATTGCTAATGATCCAAATTAAGCTAACTACTAATGCTAATGCTAATTTTATGAAGGCCTATAATTCAGTCATTTTAAAGATACACAGCTGAAAATTTATATAGTAAATTAGTATCAGAGAACAATCTTCAACAAAATCTAAATGTAAATACAAAATCCAAGGACCGCCCCCCCCGCCAGTTGTTTTGGTGGGGCACCTTGGGCAGTCCTCTGGCTCCAGCCCTGCTTCAGAGCTTGACGTTTCATTTCTCCTGCCTTGCAATAATTCTGCTTTCCCCGGTATGAACTACTGCCTTAATCATCACTTCACTGATCAACTTTCCACGCACATAGTCAATRATTTCTTTCTGAAAGTTTCATWAGAATTTGTTCAGTGGTTCATTTTACAAACAGACGGGCGATAATTGAGATGTTTGGTTACAACTAGAAATACTGACAGCTTAGAGATTTATAAAAGAAAAAAAAGCAGATTAGTTTCAAACATTATTGTTTAACTTTTTGCCAAGAACATTCATTTATTCCACAGAGAATCTTCTGAGCGGGTTCCCAAACATCTTCGCTTCTTGTGTTTTTGGCTTTGAACTAAAAGAAAATAATCAAGAGCATTAAGAAATAAAAAGAACGTCCTAATTTTTCAGCTCGATTAAGAAAATTAGACATATACGAGCCTGCTGTTCATCACAAAGTGAAAAAAACTGTCAATTTGGAACAAGTGAAACTTTTTGTTACTGGAAATAACACCAAAACACAGATGGAGACAGTTCTTCTCAGGGCTGCATGGATCTTATTTAAGCTGATTTAATATTTTTATGGAGTAACGTTCCAGATAAATACATTGCACGGGGCTTCAAGCCACCTTTATGGACCCCCTTTAATTTACCCCAGAGGAACCTTATGGCATTGATGATTCTGAACCCAATCCTAAAAATATTTCCTGCTCTTTCTTTTTTTTTTTGTCATTTCCCCCTTTTCTCCTCCTAGTTGCTTCACAACAGTTTAATCCCCCTAACCAGCACCACATGTCCTGGAAGGCTGCTGTAAACTCAGGAATCTACTTTTGCCTTTAACAATAGAATATACATAAAACATTTAAATGAAAATAAAAAAATTTGGACAACTGCTTCAAGAACACCGTAAGAGAACATTGGTAAGGCTGGACGCCCTGATGAGCTAAACAGGCAAATCTAATATCTACAATCAACTACCTGTTGAAGTTAACCCCAAACAAAATGGCCACCATGGCTAAACAATCTTAGCAAAGACACACACACACACACACAAAAAAAAGGCTACACCTCTGCCAATTTTACAGAAAATGAGCTAAAATTTGGTGCGTTTGTAACCGAGAGTCATCCTAAACATTTAGTTCAAACCTAAAAACAAATAGTGAACACACGTTTTCCTAAACTTTGCTAATAACTGGTTCTGGTTCTGGTTCTGGTTGCCAACTGTCCCGCATTTTCAMCTGAACTGAAATGWCCCATACGGGACGCTCTTTCTCCCATATTCTGACTGCATGCAATAAGAGTCATTACGAAATGACAGGCAGGCATTTATCTAGAGACACAAGCTGAAGGGGGGTCCCAGAGGGGCGGTACTGAAGTGGACAAATGCAACGACCATAAGAGTGTTAATCCCTGAAGTGGCAGAAACAGACTGCAGCGTCATTTCATTCATTTACTGAACTTCAGCACAAGATATAGGTTATTAGTGTGGTGGGTGACCATATTTTATAATAAATTATTACAAATTTAAAGGCTGCCACAAATATATTCTCAAACTATTTAATGGATGAAATAAGAAATATGAAACCTAAAATATATAAAACTCATAGTGTTCATACAGATGTTTAGTCTGAGTTTGCATTTTTTAAAATAAATTAATTCTTGAACTCTTAGTTTCTGAAGTGTTACATGAAAACAGATTTTCACAAAAACATATATGATTATATTTACATTTATTTATCCCTCTGTTTACTGAGGCCATAAGCAGCTGAAAAGTTGTAAAAAAAAAGAAAAATAAATAAAAAGTGTTGATTAAATCCTTCTTTTTAATCCATCATGTTACATGAAAATAACAGAAACAAGAATAAATTATGTTTGGGTGGATGTAACTCAAATGATGGGGAAATAAAAATGATTGTGTGATGTCATAATCGTTGCTTTACCGTAATTAGGCCCCGCCCCCTACAGACCTGTCCCATATTTTGAAGAGGCTGAGTTGGCAACACTAGTTCGAGTCAACCGTGTCTGTCTGTTAGCAAAACATTTCACAAACCACTGAACAGATCTTAATGAATTTAAGACGGTTACCACAGCTAATCAGCTTTAGCTAACACACTTCAGTTAATTTAACAGATCCTGAGCTAAAATGTGATTTTCACAACGTATTGTCATATCACAAGAATTTGACTAAAACACCTAGAGTATAAACCTTAACTCCATCCCTTATCGGCATAAGATCTTAGTTTAAAAGCAGCGGGGGATATTTTCCCTTTTATTTTAAGGAATGACTAAACGTGTGGACTTGGTGTGTGTTCCTGTGTGACGGGTTTATTTTCCTAATCTAATCTGAGGTAGGAGAGTCTACACAGAGGTCTCCATCTAATCCAAGATCTCATCTTTTGCTTATTTTCCTAAAATAYATCTGACAATCAGCTTTTGGCTGCAAAGCGAGGCTCTGACATGGTAAAGGCTGACAGCAGCTGCTTCGTGCTGTTTTACAGAGAAAAGCTCGTTTCCAGACGATCAGGTTGTTCCTTCGTAAAAGTGCATCAGAGTCGACAGTCTGTGTGCTGAATGTTCTCATAGAACCGAGCTTTATTTGAAGAGTTAAGGCTGGTTTCTGTTTTGGAATGAGCGATTTTAGCTTTTCAGAAAAACAAACCTGTGCTTCTTCATTCGTCAGCATAGCTGAAAGGTCAGAAGAGATGGATTCAGAATTAGAAGCTCTCTGAAGTACTTCCTGTCTCGACTCCTGTTTCCTCCCCTCTGTTTGTGGAATCTGACGGCGCCGTGTGATTTCGTCCCATTATTTCTTCTCTCYGGAGTTTGTTTTGACCATTTCAGTGCAGCTTTTATGAGGAAACTCTAATCAAAAGCTGCATTTGCTGAACACCGCAGAGTGTGCTGACTTGTTGTTGGAGTTTGTCAGAGAAAAGTTTTTATTTCCTCTTCTGGTTACCATAAAATGCGTCATTAACATTAACTACGAACACTCGATAATTAAACATATAATACAGGAAAAATCAAAGCGAGGAGGACGACTGTAAAGAAGTTTTAAACCTTATTTCCTTGTATTTGAATATCAATATGTTTATAGCTCTGCATAATAAAAAAAACAGCATCTGAAGAAGTTTAAATGTGGTTGTGTCGAAAAAAAAAACAGAAGCCAGTAAACGCAACATGAAATCTTTTTCCATTAAAATGGCACAAATCACAAAACATATCAATGGATATTAGTAAAGTAAGAATAGGAGGCATGTGATTTTTTTTAGATTAAAAGCTGAAATTTCTTTTGCTTTCACTTGAAAATATCATTACACAGTGAGTTCATGTGTTAACTCAAACTGGGTCTAATTGTTCAAAAATATGAATATATTTCGTTCTCACCATAGGTCCTGCTTCTCCTGACTGTCCTGGATCACCCTGAAACAAAGAAAACAAAACAAACCCTGAGGGTAAATACAGCGGCTAAAATAAGTATTGAACACGTCACCATTTTTCTCAGTAAATATATTACTAGA